GCCATAAGCCAAAACCTTCAAGGTCTTGTTAGAGCAGCCCCAGCTTCTGATCAAATTATAATGTAAAATAGAGGGGAAAATGTGAAGCAAGCTCTTCTGATAGAACAATAGCTACTGCTGCTGCTCCAACTCACTGAGCCTTTCCTACATGTGCACTGCACTACGCGCTGTCACCGACTGTTAACACTCCCCTGTGGCGACCCTCCGTGGCAGAGTAAAATAGATTCCCACCCCTGAGATGGAAATGCTGCAAACGAAAAATATAAACCAATTAGAGCAAGCTCACCTTTTCTTTAGTTTACCTTTCAGGTTACACATTAGTATTAAATTTATACCAAAAGAATATTTATATTCAGTAATTTGTCTTCCAGTTGGGGAGAGATTAGCATTCAAGATGTTGAAAAGTATTATCGAAAACTCATAAAACTAAGAACTAAACACTGATCTCAAAAAAGCCTCTCATTCAACTTTAATAAATAACTGTTCCCATCAAAATTAAGACAAAACAAACAAACAAAAAAAACAGGGGATGGAGGTGAGGAATTTCAGTAAGAAACTTCTAGCATGCACACCAGCAACCAATGATGCTTTATTTGTAAAGAGACTTGCTATTATCACCTGCAATTTATACATATTTTACATATAAATTTTATATTAGCTGATAAAAAATAAACTAAAAATGTTAAGCTGTTTCTGAACACTCAATTTAGAATTTCAACAGCTTAATAATCATGATGTGATTAACCAAACTTTTACTTAGCAGAAAGTTGTGAGCTTGGGAAGCTGTGTATAAAATGGAGTAGGCAAGAGGGAAGGGTTCCCTGGGCTGCTTAAATCAACTACAGGTCCCAGCATGCAATGCTCCAATCTGAAGCCAAGTAAAGAAAACCTCACAATGCACCTTGGGAGTTGTAGTAAGTACACCACTTTACTCTGCAGCAGCAAGTTTCAAGAAAGTCTGACTAGAGAGTACAATTTGACTAGATCTTATCAGGATCTAGTCAAATTTAGACCTAATTTGTTTGCTGCCAGCCCTGACAAATAATTTCTCTAGTATACATTAGAAAAATGTTATGTTAGCTTTTACATCAACATTTTCACATCAGGAAAAAAAAAACTTACAAAGGATGTTATATTACAAAACGTTTTAAAAGCAAAAAGATCCAACAGGATGAAAAAATTGCTTCTCAGACTTATTTTTTAGTTTGCACTGGTTTCACACTTTCTATCCCTCCCCACAAAATGTTTTGTTTTCCAGGTTTCCTTTTAACAGTGATCCAAGACACACTTTTGAAGACAATTCTCACGAGTAAATATTTCCCATACTCCAGTACTGTCCCCCAAGAAATCTACTTTTGTAGTAACACGTACACACATCAGCACAATAGCAAAAACCAAAAATACTCCAGTTCCTCTCTGTCATGCCCTACTCCATATGCATGCCTTCCACTCCCCACTCCTAATTCCCTTCTACACACCCAGAACCACACACATGCAAAGGTTTCGGGGGGGAGGAGGGGAGGAAACAAAGGGGGACCAAATTCCCACTAGAAGCCCATTTCTCTTATCCACTGACCTCTCCTGGAAACACAAAGGATCTTTATAAGCTATTAGTAACATGCCCTAACTCGAGCCGGTAAGTCTGAACTGTCCTTGCGTGTACGCGCTTCCTACACACCCCACCCCCTACTTTTTGCGAGACTCCGCAAGGAGGCAGAGAAAGAACCAGGAGCAATGTGCATCAGGAGGCCTACTGCAGGTGGTGGGTTATTTTCAGGCGACTGCACCTTCACAAACAGGCTGTGGAATACAGTCCAAGAAATTCCTAACAAGGAAAGATAAGCTGGCACACGAATTTAACACAATCCAACTAAAAATCACCTGCAACACATGCTACTACATCTCACCACAGAAGTGACAGGCTACTAAAGCATCTGAAGCTTCATCAATACAACGTACTGTCCATAAGGCCTGAGGTAGCGGTTGCCATGGTTACTATCACCCACTTTTATCAGGACATTATTGTCATTACCACCAAGTTTGGGGGATACTTTTTTGCAATTAAAACGACATCCAAAAAAACCCAAACATGGTTTAAGGCGTTACTTGTTAATTGGGTGGAAACATCAACTACTGTGTGATTTGAAAGTATGCCTCTCAGAGATGCACATGGTTAACAATACTTGGATCTGCAGCAGGAAAAAAAAAAATCAATTCCTTTCTGCCGCTCCTTCTCCTCAAGCTCTGACAGTTTGTATTCTCAATGCAGCCAAAACAATAAAACAAAACCCATCTTTTTGGCTTCTGTGTTTAACTTATGTTTTTCCCCTGGCCCCAAACCTAGTCAAAATAATGCCTAGATCATTGTCCTATTAGGCCCCATCCTCTTTCCATATTCATATTGCTGGGCCACTTTCTTGTCTAGGAAACCAGAAAACACGCCCATGGCTGATTCCAAAAGACAGGAAAGAACAGTTTCCTTCAATAAAAACCTGTTCACTAACTCTTTACCTTAACACACACACACACACACACACAACTTAATGTTGGGGGCTGGAGGATTTGCAGAGGCTGGGAAGGAGGGATAATAAAACTGTCACCTGAAGGTCTAGGGAAAGAAAGCTGGGGTAGAAAAACCCATCGGAAAACTAACTTCACAAAGAATCTCCACACGGAAGAGCTCACCACTGCACCCTGTGAGATGCGGTGGGCAGACCAATCACAGCACAGCTCATTCTCAGAGGTCTACAACAACACTCTCACTCAACTCCTCAATACACACTTTACAACAGCCTCCTAGACACACAAATAGCAAAACACAGGAACAAGAAAACAGATTCTATTTAAGAAATAATTATCTGCAACGAGTTTAATATGCTAACATACTACCGCTTAAAAAAAATCTCAAAGCAATCAAAATACACTCCTGGCAAAAATGTGATCAAAATGCATGGTAATGCTCCCACCGAACACTCAGGCCTACCAAACACCCGTGTATAAAAGTTTCCGAGCGCTCAACATAAGTCAGGAATACTTCCCAAGACAAAGATCAGGTGAAAATTCAAACATGTTTCAAGAACTCAGTCCTGAATATACATATAAAATAATTCTGTCAAAGGCTGGAGACTTTAATCCCTTCCATTCTCCTTTTGAATAGCAATTAAATATAAAAGCTCCAACAATAAAACAGTAAGGATACAAAATTTACAAGCACATTCCTAAAATCTTAACTTTAGAATTTCTTCACAGCTTTAACATCCACTGTCTGAGGAATAAAAAGTTAGCGTTACCCTGAGAGATTTCATTTTTATTTCAACAGTTCAATGATGTCCTCAGTGTATACAGAAGTGAGTTCTTATATTTACTATCTATTTGAAACTACTTCATAAACAGTCACTCCTAAAATTTAAATTCTGACAGACTCATAGGAACAAAGATCACCAATTATCTGTATTATATTATTTTTAATTTTCAAGTCCAATTTGTAACCAGAGCCCATCAAGAAAGCCACAACTCAAGACTGTAAACTCTAGCTCTCTCTCTCACACACACACACTCACACACACATTTACAGAAAAACTCCTCTAGAGTAGTCATTTTCTTGTGCATCTTTCTCAAGCACAAAGCAACAACATGTACATGTACCTCATGCTAACAGATATATATTTTTTTTTCACTGGGAAAACAAGGTTAATAGGAGCTTTAGTCAAAGAAGAATTTCTCAGAAAGTTAGCAGAATCAATCAAAACTTTCCCAGTGACATCTGTTACTCTGTGTATTAATAAGACTCTATAGAGAGTCTGAGAGCTTAAATATTCATTAAAATCAAGCACTATCACATTAATGGAGAAAGGAAGAAAAAACTTCAATAGGGCACAGGACACATAGTTCATAAGATCTTCAAAAGGAAAAATGATCTTTGGTTTTATTTATTTATGGAAAGCTGTCTAAGCAGCATTTTTGAAAACAAAGCTCCAAAACTGTTAACAAAGAGATTTTCAGTAACCACAGTAGTATTTTCAAAACATAAATTGACAATGCAGTAGGGGTGTACTTTTTAAGGCATGAATTTCTCAACTGACAGGGAGAAAATTAACATTTTAAGACAAAAGCTTCTATCTGTATATTAATCAGTTGCCTCTCTCAACAACTGCAGGTCTGCATGGCTCCTGACAATTTACAAAGCACTTTCACATGCATTAGCTCATTTGCTCTCACTGAGAGAAAAGTACAGTAATTCAACTACAAAATAGGCCAAAATCAAAGCAGATTCATCATATTTCCTACCTATTTCTAAGGCTTTCCTTTCCCCTTCTCTAAGTTTTTAAAACTTTGACATAGAACTTTAAAAGCAACTGCAGCAGCATGTTATTTCCAGTGCTAATCAATGCGGCCAACACTAACAGAACACAAAGACTATATGCTGCAAACACTTCAAAATTGTTCAAGTCGCCGCTTTCATCTGTATGTAGTTATTGTCCCATGTTAAAGAATGGACACATTGGCAGTGATGTATATTCACAGATGTAACTCTATTGAAAAGTTCAAGAATCTATCTTTGGAGGCCAAGGTAAAGCCATCAACCTCTATATTAGACTTATGCCCATGGATTCAAGGGGAATCAAAACATACACACACAAAAGTCTCGCTCTCTCTCTTTTTTTTTTTTCCAACACAACATTTCCCCTTTCCAAATCTTCAACAACTTGGTCTCCTATTTGTAGGAGCACAAAGCTTAGAACTCAAATCACGCCAAGTACTTTTGTTTATAGCAATTGCACATCTTTCTAAAAAAAAAAATAGGTGCAATGATCCATGCATCAGTTTAAGACTAACTCCCTTTAAAACAGAGTAATTCTCCCAGAGCTCTCTGCCTAGGCCCAACAACCATATCAGCAAATCTTTCATGTAGAATATTACAGAGAGATAAAAAGTTAACCAAAGATTTCAGTATCCAATAGTAAATGCAATGTTAAAACAGAATTTTTAAATTGACTTACTCGAATTCTTCCTGGAACTTTTAAGGTGTTAAATCCTGTTGTTCAGGTGAGGCTAAGGATAGCTGCAGTAAGTAGCAAGACCCTCAAAATTTAAAAAAAAAAAAATCTTTATCTTGCTGTAGCACCTCCTGCTGGATTGCATTTAGAGATCTTCATGTAAGCAGAAGAGTATTTCTGAGGTAGCTCCTTCCAGAAGACTGAATAGGAAAAAAGATGGACTCTTCAAAGCTAAAAGAAAATAGGGCCCCATCGATCACTTAACACCTCTTAAAAAATCAAATGTGCCAATGATGGGGTGGGTGTCTTTAACTTAAAACCATTTCACTTCCATAAAGACTTGCCCAAGTCCAGAGCACAACAGGCTTAAATCATGCTTGCAAAATTACCTAAAAACTAATTTCCAAAGCCTTCAAAGGCTCTAAAGAAAAAACTTTCTCATGAGCAGCCAAGTAGCGCCAGTTAAAATGCAAATTCGGTTATGTACCAAAAAGTCAAAGTCTGATGTACCCCAAAGCTCAGGGATTCTGTAACATGTTAGCCAGATGCTTGTATTTTGAGAATTTTCTGCTCTATTACTATGCCCTGCATTGAAGAGCAACCGTACATCTACAGAAGTCTTAAGTACAGGATTTTTTTTTCTTACAAACATCAGTGTAACTCCAAGCAAAAAAAAAAAAAAAAAAAAAATCCTCTCTGCTATCAAAAGATGCATCCTCGGATTTTAGAATGCCTTCTTCAAACCTCTGATATGATCCTGAACAAGCCAGCAACACAGATCCCACAGGAGCCAGAAAAAGAAACTTACAAAATTACAATAATACTATTTCCAATTTTTAAAAAATAGGTTAAGTTTCCTACAATGCTACAAGCCCATGGTGAAACTTTAAAATAAAGAGAGGAGGCAGTCTTCAAAACCAGAAAGAAAAGCTGACCTATTTACTGCCCAAACGTGAGTGCAAGCTAGATGTAAACAAATCATACAAATCCCAGAAAACTATGCTTAGCTTTTCTCCCCTCCCCCGTGGGTCCCCCACTCCAAGCCCTCGGTAACGCCGGGGAGCCTGTGAGCACCCCTTCTAGAAGAACACAGTCGGGCTGCTCACCCTAAAGAAATCCTACAGGATGCACCTAGGAAAAAGGGCTGCCTTCCTAGAGCGCACAAGTGCTTTTAAAACACACACACACACATACACAAAACAGGGGAAAAAAAAACTTCCATCAGCTCCAATTAATCTGATTCTAATATTCAGCTATCAATTATTAATACAGAAAGGCTCTTGCCCAACTTCCCCAGTTCCAGCATCTGCATTCCCGACATCTACTATTGAGAGAGAGGAAAAAAAAAAAAAAATCCGCACCCCAGCTCTGGGGCAGATCTTTGAAATCCGAAACACCAGCCACAAAGTTCACTGTCAAGGCCAGTGCCCAGGCCCACACACACCCGGACCTTCATTCCACGCCTGAGATTCAAGAAACCCACACTCGCAAGAGCCAGCCTTCCCCAACAGCACAATGTGGACGTGCCGAGTGAGATCCTCGTACTTCAAGACCTAAACAAAGAATATTTCAACATATGACCGGAATATGATGACACCAGATTCACCAATGAAAACAAAACCTGCCTTCACCATCAGCGGCCGTACCCTCCGTCTCCACAACTCAACTACTTAAGAAATCACTCCCGCACACATCTGCACCCCCCAAGCGGCCTGGGGCCTCCTTCGGGGGTACCAGCCACAGACAAAGTTGAAAGGAGACATTCTTCTCCCCCCCACCCCCCCAGCCCTCTACCTCCCCTACCCCCGCCCCCCACCCCCCACCCTACGCCCAATGCCCAATCTCTACCCTCCCCTCCCAGGGCCACCTTACTGCTGGCTACCCACCATCGTGAACGTGTGGTCAAGGGGAGGTGGGGGGGGGGCGAAATAAAATTTAAAAAAAAAAAGAAGAAGAAGAAGAAAAATCCTAACAGCACCGCTCGGCAGAATAAAGAGACCCGAGAGGATGACGAGAAGTGTTGGGAACTGCGTGCACGGCGGGGCTGGACCAAACGGAAAGAGTCCCACTCCGCGCGCCCCTCCCCCCGGCGGGGGCGCGGGCGGGGGAGGGGCGGCCGCAGCCCCTCTCGGAGCGGCCTGTCCGCGGGGTCCCGGGGCGCCCCCCGAGCGGCCGCCGCCACCGCCGCCGCCGGCGAGGGGTGGGGTGTTGCGGGGGGGTGGGGGTGGCGATGCGGGAGGGCCGGCCCCGGGGTGAGGGGTGCACGGCAGACTCTCCGGAATAACAAGTTGCAGAAGAAGAAGAATAAGCGGAATTTCCCCAACGCCGCTGCTCCGGCCACCCCAGACAAATGCACCAACACACACTCACACACACACACACTCACACACACTCACGGTCGGCCCGGCAGCGTCAGCAGCCGCAGCTTTTTTTTTTTTTTCTTTAAACCAGATCCCTCAGTCACCAAACAAGATGGTTTTCCTCAGCGTCCTCCCCCCTAAAAAAATTTTTTTAAAAATAATAACCATAATAAAAACTTCACCCCGACAGCATCCCGGAGAAGGGGTGGGGGTGGGGAGATGAAAGAGCCGAGACGCCCGTGGCCGGGGCCGAGGGAGAGCCCAAAGCTGGGGGGGGGCTGCCGAGCTCCGCGCCCCCCACCCCCGCTCGAGGCCCCCCGCCGGGGCAATGTGACGCCCCCCGGCCCGCCACCCCCGGCGCGCCTCTTGTCACCCGCTCCGGCCCCGCACTCAGCGCCCAGGCTCCCGAGGCTGCTCATAAACTTACTTCCAATTTATCCTGGGGAGGGGTGGAGAGGGCAGAGGAGAGGAAAGGGGTGGGGGGGGAGAGAGACAAGGTTTTCCCATTGTCTTTTTTTTTTTTTAGGTGTGGGGGGGGGAGAGGCATAGGAAGGGCACGCAGGGGGGCGCCCCGAAGGGGAAGTTATGGCTCAAATCTCAAGTTGACTGAGGGGTCCTAACGAGAACACCACCATCACCACCACCCCTTTTCCCTCCTGCCTCCCACACACACCCCTCCCCTCCCCTCCCCCCAACCCCCCAAACAACAAACTCCAAGCAAGCAGCCCCAGTTCCTCCCAGAGACAAACACCAGAGACAAGACAGAGGGAGAGAGAGAGAGAGAAGGAGAGAGAGGCGAAGGGGAAGGGGGAGGGGAAACAGAGCTACTCCAGAAAAAAAAAAAAAAAGGAGCGAGAGGAGAGTGAGAAGAGAATGGAAAAGCTGGGATACTGCACCCTCCTGCTGCTGGCTGGCTGTCCCCCCTGGCAGCTGGAGGCAGGAACTCTGAGCAGGAGAAGCAGGAGGAGGAGGAGGAGGGAACTCTTCTTCATGGGGAGGGAGGGAAGAAGCTGGAGCTGCTGCTGCTGCTTTCTGCTGCTGCTCTGGGCCCCTGGCACTTTTGAGATATTAGTGTGTTAAGATGGTAGGTTGTTCCCTCTCCCTCCTCCTCCTCTCTCACTCACTCTCCTCTCTCTCTCTCTCTCTCTCTCTCTCTCTCTCTCTGGGCTGTTTCTTTCCTCCTCTTCCCCAGGCAAGGGAGGGGGGGTGGGGAGGAGGGGTGGGGGGAGGAACTGGATCCTCCTCCTCCTCCTCTTCCAGGAGACACACACACAGGGCCCAGGCCGGAATAGGAGCGGGGCGGGGGGGGGGAGGGAATCAGAGCAGCAGGCGAGAAACTATGGGAGACAAACAAGCCCAACTCTTCATCCTCCTCCTCCTCCTCCTCTCAGCAGCAGCAGCGAGCACCACCAGCCCATTCACCACCCGGCCCCGGGCCGCAGCACCTCCGCCGCCTCAGCCCGGGGATCCCTCCGCCCAGGCCCAGACACACACTCGCCCGCGCGGGAACCCGCCGCGCGGCCCCGCCGGCCCGCCGCCGCCGTGCGCGCCCCCGCCGCTCCCGAGAGCCGGGCGAGAGGCACAGGGGCTGAGGGGAGCGGGGACGAGGCCGGCAGGGCGGGGGGCCGCCGGGCGGAGTTGTACGGCGGCCGGCCCGGGCCCCCCGCGCCGCCGAGCGCGGCTGGCGGGACGCGCGGGGCCCAGCCCGGCCCCTCTCGGCCCCTCCGGGGGGCGGCGGCGGAGGGAGGAGGCCGGTTTGTGGGGTGGCGGGGGCCCGCGGCGGCGCTCGGGCGGGCGGACTACTTGACGTGTCGGTGCGGCGAATTTATTTCACTTTGCCTAAGGAACGGGGTGTGCTGCGGCCCCCATTGCCTAGGGAAAAAACCCGGATGTAAAGTGAGTGAAACTAAACTAGAGTGAAGTAGGGCAGCGGCAGCCAAACTCCAGTGCAGCGGCAGCGGCAGCGGCGGCCGCCGTGATGGGGGCCGAGCTCGGAGCGGCGGCAAGCTGCAAGCTCAACTCCGGCCCCGCCGCCACCGAGGGCCCGGGCAGGGATGCAGCTCGGCTCCCAGGCTGCCGAGGCGAGGCCGGAGCCCGCTGCGGCCCTCCACCCCCGCCCCTGCCCCCCAACTCCGGCGGCCGGAGCTCAACAACTCCCCACCCCGCCTCCCCCTTTCTCCTCTCGCCTGCGGGAGCTGCAAAGGGGCTCCGGAGCGGCCCCAACTCCCTCTAGTGCAACATTGCAGTTGGAAGGCGAAGAGAAAAAAAAAAAACAGTCGCGAGGGCAGCCACTGCAATGGGGGGGTTGGGGGAGAGCGTGGTCCAGGCAACAGGAGGAAGATGCCACCTCAAGTCGAATGCAACATGCCATCCCTGGCCGCCGCTCGCCCGCTCCCTCCCCTCCCCACCCCGCCCCCTGACCAAATAACTACCCTGGAACCACTTTATTAGCCTTGCTCAGTCCCACACTCGCTCCGGGGAGGGAGGGGGAACTAGGGGGGGCTTCACTCACCTTTATTTATTGCAGCTCCCTCCCCCCCTCCATGTTTTTTTATTCTTAAGTTCTTTTGTTCTAAGGGGGATGGTGGCATTTACTTTTCTGCTTTGTGTGGCAGGGCAATCGCTGGGAATCGGCCACGTAGAATCCGGCAGTTTGTCAGATTTTATTAGTGAAAGTATTTTATGCCTCTGCTACCTCCAAGGACTGTAACATGGAGAATTGCAGGGAGGGAAACACACACACACACACACACTCTCTCTCTCTCTCTCTCTTTCTCACTCATCAGAATTCTTGTTTTGAGAAATTTCTTGGCGGGGTGGGGTGGGGGGGAGGGCCTCGAGTGTGTGGGGGGGTTGGTGTTTATTTAGATTTTTCAATCGATAGTTTTCAACTTAAAGCTTAACCTGTTTGTCTGAAGGTATGACTGCATTCTAAAATAACCCCCGACCATAATGAAGAAGAGTAAAAATTCCTAGATTAAAAAAAAAAAACAATCTGTACTGGACGGTGATAACGATCTGTTGTGCACAGCGCGCTGGACTTCACGTAGCATTGGCCTTCGAATGTTAAATAACGATAAACCCCCAACCCCAACTGAATACAAATGGGGGGTGGGGTGGTTTTGTTTTTGAGGCTCAGCACTTTTGGAGCATCTGCCACTACGCATTTTCCAGGCATTGATTAGCCATGCGGCTCCCATAGGCATGAAGTCCAGCTTGTACAAATAAAGAGCAACAGTGGGGAGATGATTTCGCCCAAAGTCAAAGTGAGTCATTGGCAGAACCAGAAATAGCTTAGGACTTTTTATTGGCTACTAGTCACATCGTTTCCATTAAATAGTATCTCCTCTTCCCCAAGAAACAGCATTTAAAAATAAAAGCGGTATCCTTTACCGTGGTCTTTTCGGCAGAGGTGCTTTGAGATCACTGGCTATGAAGGTCTTTTCTCACTTACGTGACCTGCAAAATGAAGTTTAACTTCCCAAGAGAAAGCAGCTTCAGCAAAAAAATTTAAAAAAAAAATTTTTTTTTTACAAATTCTGATTTCTTCAGAAATAACGACTTTATTTTACATGGGTAGGCCATGTAAATCTCTGAGCTTTAAAAAAAAAAAACAAAATCACAACAGAAAAAGTGTGTAAGAGTTTGAGAGCGAAAATGAAAATACCTATAAGTGATTCAAGAAGCCTGGATGAACTGATAATGTTGGGAAGTTAACCCCATGACGCAGTCAAGATGGGTGAGGGTACCATGACCCAGCTTCACCACCTGGAGGGGAACCTTCCAGGCCAGGACGCCTCACCCAGTCAACCCAACCCAAAGCAACCCAGGCTGATGCAAAAGTCCCACATTTGTCACATTTATTCCAGGACAAGACTGGTAGTGTTCTTTCGAGGGGAGGGGGAAAGTGGGAGGAGAGTTAAATTGTTTTTTTTTTTTTTTTTTCAGAATTTCTTAGGGAAAAGCTCCAGAAGCTCTGTGCCTAAATAGATAGAACTGGTCAGCAAACGGTTTCCATGTGCTGTGAAATACTATTCTTTTGAATTCTCTTTAAACCATAAGAAATATTAACTTTTTTATTATGTGTATATATACATATATACACTTTTTTTTTTTTTTTGCTGTGGGATTAAAAAGCAGACCAAGGGTGAGACTGAGCCAAGGAGCTGTCATTTCCCAGTCCCTGCCCTAGAGGACTAAACCTGAACCTGTACCTGAGGAGTAAGTGGTTATGAAGATGTTTATGTAGCAATTAAAAATCAATATCAGGCAGAGCCATATACATTTTCATAAAATGTTTTCACCGAGTAATTGTCTGATACCATTCGAAACTAT